TCTGAAACGTGATATAAATTTTTATGAAATTTTATTGGCCTAAATTTGAAGATCATGCACGTGATATTGTTTATTTGATATTCGAATACCTATCAATTATATTACCAAATTTTCACATGACCGCATAATTTTGCAAAGAGCGATAACTATGAAACCTTTATCTGATAAGAATATGATTATATAAATCGACAATTTAATCTCTGGTTAACCAATTAAAGGTACTGACATCAAGTTAAACATTGGTTTGAAGGACCTGACAAGAAATGTTGATGCCAAAAACAATTACCAACAGAAAAGAATAAATGTTATAATTGTTATGAAGATTATTTTCACTAGGAAATAATCTAAATAATTCCTGTTCAAGAAATCAAAAATGCACAAATATTTTTGGTAAAAGGAGAAGCAGAAGAATTAGCTCAAAATGAATATAATTATATTGTTCAGGATATATTTGAAAAATATCCAAATGTTATAGCCAAAGATTTAACTCAATTAGGCCGTACTAACATTGTAACCTATCACATTAATACTGGAAATACTAGAGAAATTAAACAGCATTATTATAGAACTTCCCTTAAACATGAGTCTTTTATAAAGGAAGAAATAGAGTGCCTCAAAGAACAAGGACTTATAGTACTTTCTCATAGCCCTTGGACTTCTCCTACACTTGTAGTTGGCAAGGTAAATGGAAAAATGAGACTTGTTATAGATTACCACCAATTAAACAAAGTGACAAAACCTGATACATATCCCTTTCCCAAAATCTCTGATATGTTGGATGCTCTTGTTCACATCAAATACTTTTCAACTCTTGATCTAACTTCTGGTTTCTGACAAGTAGCAATGCATGCTGTTAACCAAGAGAAAACTACTTTCAGTATCAAGTTTGGCACTTATGAATTTACAGTCATGTCCTTTGGTTTAATAAATGCTCCAGCAACTTTTCAACGTTTAATGGATAATGTCTTCTATGATGTGACCTGAAAGTTTGTTTTAGTATATATGGATGACATTATTATCTATTCAAAATCTTTAGAAGATTACTGTACTTACCTTGAACAGGTCTTGCAGTTATTAATTAAAGCAGGTTTAAAGTTAAATCCTGATAAGTGTGATTTCTTTAGAAAACAAATACTTTTCCTTGAATATTTAGTGTCTGAGAAAGGAATCGAATCAAACCCAACCTTAGTTGAAAAAATCAAGGAATGCCTTTCTCCGATTTCTAAGAAGAAAATCAGATCTTTTCTTGAACTTGTCTCATATTATAAGAGATTTATAAAGGATTTCTTCAAAATTGTCAAACCTTTGTATGAATTAATCAAACAAAATGTAAACTTCTGCTGGTCTGAAGATTGTCAAAAGGCTTTTGAGCATTTGAGAACTTGTCTTACTACAAAACCTATAGTTATTTATCCTAATTTTTCAAAGCCATTTATTTTATATACTGATACCTCTGATTATGCCATTGGAGCTGTTCTAGCTTAATTGGATGATATAAAAAAGGAACATATTGTTGCATACGCTAGTAGAGTACTTAATGAAGCTAAACGAAACTATACTGTGACTGAAAAAGAATGTCTTGCCATTATATGGATCACCAAATACTTTCATCATTTCTTACAAGGACAAAAATTCAGTATTGTTACTGATCATGAAGCTATTCCTTGGTTAAAGAAACACAAGCAACTTAAAGGACGTCTAGCCCGATGGATAATTCATTTGTCTGAATATGAACCTTATGACATTATTAAACGAAAAGGAAGTGATCATACAAATGCAAATACACTCTCAAGATTAGAAACTAATCCAGTAGATAATCTTCTTTCTCTTTTATTTTAATCCCTTTTATATATATTTATAAGTACACCATTTATCATGGACTTAAAAGTGTACAATGAATTTATTGATTACTTACTTTGACATAATTATCCACCTGAATTAACCCCATAACAAAAACAAAAATTAACAAGACAAGCAACACAGTATATAGTAGAAAATGACATTTTATTTAAGAAAAATAACAAAATCCTGAAAACCCCCTTCATGTTATAACTCTGCAGGACAGAGAGAAAATTTTATATAATTTGCATTCGTCCCCTTTGACAGGACATTTTGGTCTAAAGAAAACAATAGAGAATGCAACAAGAAAATATTACTGACCTGATATAGGAACAGATGTTAAAGCTTATATTAAATCTTGTGACAGTTGTCAAAGATTTGGGAAGCCAGGAAAAGTACAATTATTACAATCTATACCAGTAGTACAACTATTCTATCAAATAGGAATAGATTTCATAGGACCTTTAAACATTACCCCCTCTGAAAACAAATATATTTTAGTAGCTGTTGACTACTTTACTAAATGGCCAAAAGCAAAGGTAGTAAAAGAAGCCACTGCTAAGGAAACTGCTAAGTTTTTATATGAAACTATTATTTGTCAACATGGAACCCCCTCAATAATATTATCCGATAGAGGAACTCATTTTGTGAATGAAACAATTAAATTAATGAAAGAGGAAGTAAGATTTAGACATAAACTTTCCTCTGCTTATCATTCCCAAATAAATGGATTAACAGAATGATTTAATGGTACCTTATGCAGGTCTCTTGCTAAAAGTCTACAGACCAGTAAATCAAATTGGGATGAATTAATTCCTAGTATTTTATTTACATATAGAACATTAAAACAAGAATCTACAAAATATACTCCCTTTTATCTTGTACATGGTAGAGAAATACAACTACTAATAGATATTGAATTCCAAGATCAAGAACAAAATTTAAATCCAATTGAAAATTTTGAAGAATTCTTGAATAGAAGGATTAATGCTTTAAAAGGAATATTTATTAATGCTCAAATCATTAATCATAGAAATATTCAACATGCACAGGAACTTCAAAGAAATCGTTAACAAAATTTAAAGAAAGCTCAAACTTATGAAGTTAATGATATCATTTTATTGTATAACTCTGTAAAACAACATGTGCATGGAAATAAATTTTCAATAAGATGGAATGGACCCTTTTGGATACAAACAAAATTAGGAAACAATATATATTTAATTTGTGATAAATTAGGAAGGATACTTCAGAAGTCAATTCATGCAGAGAAAATAAAACATTACAAACAGAGATATCTTGTAGAATCACATGTTGTAATTGCCTCTTGAATTACACAAAATTAATTTTGTGCAAAATTGAAATTTATATATATATATATTTGGTACTATGGGTAATTTTAATTAAGAACAAAATAAATTTACAACTTACTTCTGAACAACAACAAAAATTAATAGACCTTTATTAAAATTTTCACATAACTTCTAATATATACATACAATTCAATCCTGACACAATTAAAATAAAAGTAAACAGTTGTGAAACTACTGTAATAATTCCTGAAACAAAAATAAAAAAAAAACCAATGAGCAAGTATATCGAGGATGCATATGATGCTAAATATGAATTAGACCAAACCGTTAACAATGAAGAGAATTTTGATACTCTTTTGAGATTTACAATCGATCCAAGTAAATCTAATGGTCAGAAAATACAAGCTTATTCCAAAGTTTGAAATCAAGTAATCTAGAAAATTAAAAGGGAAGGAGAAACAACAGATCAGATTAAAAGAAATATCTGAAATCTAATTTAAAGAAATGGAACTCACTTCTTGAGAATTACTCAAAAGTCCAATAAAGTAACAGAGGTAGTAGGAGAGTTTTTACCTCGAAGATTTGAGCATATTACTCTCACCTGTTAAGTCATATTAAAAATGAAGAGTTTGAAGACTTTTTGATCAAACTTAAGACCAGATATAGGCAAGATATTGAGCTTCTCGCAGGAGCTTGAGAGTAAAGGAGAAAATGTTATGACACTCTAAATTATTATTTTATCTTTTATCTATTATTATCTTCATTATTTGTATTATTTATAATTATAGTTAATTTTGTAAATCAGTGGTATGAATTAGGAAGTGTTACATTTAAGGATTATCATTGTTAATTTACCCAGGTATATATCTAGGTACAATACCTAAAGAAATACCTAGGTAGGATACCTGGGGATAGATAATGAAATTACCTTTGACAATATTATTTATATCACTTGGTAAAGAACCAATCTAGAGTAGAGAATAGTATAGTTTGTCTGTGGCACAAAGGGTGCCAAAAGAATATAAATACAAGTCTTTTTAGCTTTGGTTTTTACAAGTCAGTTTCAGATCGAGTTTAATAGTTCAAGTTTAAGTTTCATAGTTATTTAGTTAATAATCCTCTGATTTATTCTTTTAATAAATATTATTTCTTTTATTATTCTTATATAATTATCTTTTATTATTTATCATCATATATCTTATCTATTTCTTATATTTCTTATATTTATTTTAATAAAGTTGATATTAAAATAAAGTCTTCATATAATTTATTGACATTGAATCTTTTACACATACACCTTGCTAAGTCACAAACTAACTTGATATTGTAAAAACCCTATCACAATAAAGAATTCACTCCTAAGTTGACCTTTTTCCCTAACTCTGTAATTTGCTATAATTAGTCAAGTAGGATCAATCAGAAATAGCATGATAATTACATAACCTTTTGTTAGTTTTTGTTAGAAAAGATTCTCTATCCTTCAGAATATTGGCACACTAGACACGTGACAAATTGGTGCTTTCTGTGAAGTTGTGAAAATTAATTAGTTTAGTTTAGTTTATTTTTATTTATCTTTTATTCCTTTATATTTTTATTAGTTTATATTTTTATTTATGATCGAATTAGAAGAATTGAATAATATTGTTCTAGAATTAACTGAAATTTATTATCAGAAAATACAATACATAGTTGATTAAACCTCTATTGACCAAGATCCATATTGAAAAATAACTGATCTTGAAAAATTGCGTAAAATTAAAGAACAATTAAATTTAGTTTTTAAAATTAGAGATAATTGTGTACAAGTTTTGAAAGATTTAAAACTTCTTAAAAGTTATTCTTCTCAATAGTATTAGTTATTACTTTCTTTAATAATATTTTATATTTTTATCCCTATTTTTACATTTATTTATTTATCTTTTATTAATATTAGTATAATTATAATTCTTAACAAATTATCATATATATTTATCTTTATCCCTATATTCTTTAACAACATGAATATCCAACAAGCTACTGCAGTTGTAAATGCACTCCAAGATTTAACCTATCATATGAAAATTAGAAATACTGTACCTATGCCTCGTTTTGAAGGAAGAAATCAAGATCCTATTGAATGGCTCGAAGAATTTGAGTGAAATGCTCAAGTAAATGGATATCACAACAACTATAAATTACAAGTAGTTGGAGGATACCTATTAAATGAAGCTAGAATATGATATGAACTACAAGAAGACAACATGGAAATCCAATTCCAATACTGAGTAAACCCAAACAACTGAAATTTCAAAACTCTTTTACTTAGGTAATTTAGAAACCAAGGAAAAATTATATAATGGAGATTGGAATTAGAAAGAAGAGTACAAGGTCTCACTGAACCTGTTGATAAATATGCTTTAGAAATAAAGTGCTTAATTAGAAGAATTGATTATAATAACCATTGGACTGAATCTGATAAAGTATATCAATTTACTAAAGAACTACACAGAGAGATTGCCTGTTAATTAAATCCTCATTTAACCTTCCAAAACAACCTTACTCTTGATCAAGTGATTAAAGCAGCCCAATGCATGGAAGAAAATAATAAAGTTTATCCAGAAGCTTTATTAGGATTCCAACAACCTCATATTAATAATTCAGTTACAATGACATATTCATATCAAAACTCAAATCCAGTTCTTCAAAATGATCCTGTTGAAGTAACAATAAATAAAGTTTTAAATCCTTTAATTCAAGTTTTAGAAAAGTTAACTTTAGGACAAGGAAATAATAATACAGAAAATACAAACCAACTTCAGTCCAACAGACCAAATTATAATAATAACAGTAATTTTGGTAATAATAATAATAATAATAACAGACCTCCCCGAAGACCAGTTACATGTTATAAATGTAATTAAATAGGACATTATGCTAGAAATTGTTCTAGTCCCAATAATAACAACAATAATCAAATGATACTTCCTGTTAATAACTAAATCCCTGTAAATCAAAATATATATGGAACTCATTTGTTTACATAGCAACAACCGCAATAAGCAGTACAACTACAAGTTTACCAAATGCAAATGCCCCTAGCACAGCAACAAATACCTCAAGTAAACCAATATCAAAATGTTTCTCCAGTGGTTCCTCAACAACTTCACCAAAATCAAAACTAACAAGTTTTAGTAGGATTATATAAAACAGGAACAGTGCCATTTATATATGTTCCCAAAATTGATTTTAGATTTTTGAGATATTTCGACTTTTTGAAATTTATGCAAAATCCATTCTATATATGGAAGTAAAAAAAGTACCTAGTTATATGTATCTTTAATCAAAGAATAAATCTGGGTGGTCAAAAAATTTCAGGTTTTAAGTAAAATAATTTCGTCTTCTATGAAAAACTATTTTGACTTTTTTCCTGAAATTGTAATTTCAGGGCCCCAAAATAATTTTGCGTACAAGTATAGTGCCATTAATTCAACAAGTTTATCCTGTTGAGCATTTAAACTAGAAAACGTACTCCAGGAGGGTGGGAGTACATCTGATAATGCAATTCCCTCATATACAGGAGAAACTCAAAGAATACAATAGTTCCGACATGCTGCTAAGTCACAAAATAAAATATTTGATAGTAATGAAGTTAAAATGACAGATGTGCTTATTCCAGAACTTGCAAAAGCTGAAGGTTCTAAAGATAATAAAGGAAAATGGAAGGTAGAAGGTAAACAAAAGGAAGGAAAGAAAGGAAAGCAAAAGCTAGCCTTTACTGAGAGACCCTTATTGAAGCAGAAAACCATGCCATACTCAATTGCTGAAGATTTGCTATATGTCAAATCAAATATTACTATAGGACAATTAGCAAATATACCTAAATTCAGAAATAAGTTAAAAAAAGCCATAACTTCAAGACGAAAGAAAGATCCTAAGAAAAAGGAAAAGAAGAATGGAGAAGAAGTAAATTTAGGAAGTACTTCCTACTGTAATATTCCTATGATTTGTAAAGGACAAGTAGGAGGATGGACCATTGATATTATTCTAGACAGTGGTTCATCTACAAGTATAATCTCAAAGAAATTCCTTGAACATTTAAACAAAACTGCAACCTGTAAATCTAACAGAATGATTACAGGCATACATGATAACAAAAGGTCTAGCTTGGGAATTATTGATAATATTGCAGTTCACATTGGTGATGTAGTAGTATCCACAAATATGAAAATAATTGATACAGTATCCTATTCCATGGTATTGGGAACTGACTGGTTACAAAAAGCCAATGCAGTAATAAACTATAAAGATTCCCAAGTAACCATTTCTGATAATCATAGAAGAGCCCAAGTTTCTTGTAGGAATTCCACTGCACCACCTCCTCCAGTAATAAATAATGAGGAAGATTCTGATGATGATGACTATGAATATAAAGAAGATGAAGATAAAGATAAGGATGGTAACCTTGTCTTAATGATAAATGAAGAGGAAAGTTCAGACCAACACTTTTACAAGTTGATCCCTTGGGAAATTGAAATTATCGCTCTTTGCAAAATTATGTGGTCATGTAATAGAAGGATCTACTAATAAAATGCTGAAAACCAGTGATTACAAAATACGTGTCATATGAAAAAATTTATATTACATATTAATA